CTGGTGTCAAATATTCTTAAGACAGTCATGCAATTCCTGTTTTCTGTCATGTAGTGGCAAAACCCCAAAATCTTTTTATATCAACCTTTGTAGGATTTATCTTTGCTTTAAAATAATTGTAAGGCAATTTAAGTTAAGTGTTTTATTTCACTTCCGACTAAAGTATATATGAAATATTTTAGATTTATTTCACTATGTCAGGAAAGAATAAGTATATACCTGACTAACTCCATCAGTAATTCATTTATTTGCCCGTCTATCTAATTGCTAAGAATATTTGGACATCGTTACTCTCACTGATCCCTTTGTGTTGCACATTATAACAAAGTTGCTAATAACTCATGCCCTGAGTGCACACAAGCAGCTGCAATCAGATGGACTCTGATTGTGCACTGCCATCCATTGTTCAGTGAAACATTTTGGACTAAAAATCACACAAAATTCCTGAGAATTATTTTCAAACCACAACTCAATATCTGTTATGGTGGTCCCAAATCCCTTGATTCTAAGATATATGGTGTGACTACTTTAAAAGCTCACAGAAAAGAGGATTCAGTAGAAAAAAAAGACTAGACTGAAAATAATGAGACATAAACTCAACTGCTTTTTCTGGCCTCTTGTTTAAATCTGACAAGTCACTTGATATATTTACCATCCCTTTGTGAAACAGTGAAAAGGTCTTTTATTTTGAAGGCTTATGGCAATCTTCCATAAGGAAACAAAGTGAGGTGCTTGCATAATCAGATGGTTTAAACTGTCTAATTCTGGAGCATAATAGGACAACAGTTTTGGGGGAGGGGAAGGTCGGTGTAGTTGTTATTTGCAGCACACAAAAGTCTCTGTTAAAGTCACTGATGACAACACAGGTCAGAATGACTAAACAGAGGAGAATTTGCAACCTGACTGGCATTCAGCTGTCTTTGCTTGACTAATTTCTCTTTTTCTCACCGGGCATACTGCATTTCTCCTTCCAAGAGATCAATGCAAACTCACACAGATCATTAGCCCAGATGAAAAATAGTTTGACAAGCAATGAAATACTTTCAGTGATACGACAATGGCCTATTTGTGTGTGCTGAGCCTGAAAACATACAGGCAGGACAGAAGTGGGAAGGAAAATGATTCAGCCAGTGATGCTCACAGCTTGCAGAAAGTTGTCAACTTGATCCATATAGCACGTCTGAGATCTGTGAGTAAGCATCATGCAAGCTATGATAATCCTTCACTTAACAGTTGGATGACTCACAGAGGAGAATTTTTCAATAGATTCTTCCCTGACAGTTACTAATTTGCTTGCTGCACATCTCTGGCACAAAGGTTTTAAGTCAACTCTGCAGCTCTTAAAGGTCACATAAAATGAACAAGAGCAGACAACTCTGCATCTATTGGCGGTGCCAGTATCAGAGTACGGAATGAGCAGTTGTTGTAACACAGCTTTGAGACCGTATTTCCAAATTGGAATGTGTATGAAGGAGATAGATAATGGTAGACATCAACTTGCAGGAGCAGATTCCAAACTACTAAAAAGCATAGTTAGACAATATGGTTAGACATGTCTACAGAAAACAGAATTCTTCAGTTCTCTTGGACTTGTGATTTCAGAAAAAAAGTCTTAATTTTTCCAGCAAAGAAAGTTGATTCTGAGATTGAAAGATTTAAACTCAATTCTGAGTTGTTTTATAGAAATTTTCTATCTGGTTAAAGAGAAGGTTTTCCTATGATGTATTGCATATGCATATTGTTTGAGACAGCTGGGGATAGTGCTTATGCTCTATCATGTATGAAAGAGTTTCTGATATGTAGGCTCACATTAAAGTACCAGACTTTGCTAATATCTACAAAATGTTTCAAAAGAGAAATACTTTTTGAATTTGGTTTTATCTGTATGGTCACTGAAGGCACATAAATTTGTTGATGAATACAGAGAAAAATCTAAAGCCGGAGCCACTAATTCCCTATATGGACCAGCAAAATATTTTGTTTCTAAGACAAGTGTTTTGTGAAAAGATTATAGTGGGAAACTGGGAAGACAAACCAGTTCCAGACATAGCATCAGGCTATATAGTAATGTAACAATGATAGTGTAGGGTTAAAATGTTTCTAAAAATCATGGGAATTGCATACAATAGATTCAGGGGGGTGGAAAGGAAGATTGGGTCTGGTAGGCCTGGGAAAGGGAACTAGGCCCTGGGAACGAATATTGAGCTTTGTTTATTTCTAGATCATATGAAGCTGCACCTGCGTAATCATCATATGATAAATTATATGATTGTTAAATGTAACGATTGTTTGGTTATTGAATATGATTATTGTTTAATCGTAATAAGAATCATGAGAAACAATGTAATTGTAACAAGAATAATGAGAAAGAATATTTGGGGGGGGCCTAACGAAAATTACAAGAATTCATGCTTGGATAAGATCACAAACCAGTTTGCTTTAATCTCTCAAGCTGAACAGAAACATGCTTAATATTATCAGTATTATGACCAAATATATGATGTTGGGATGCCTGCTGAACTGGGTTTCTCATGTTGAGAAACCAGATCTAAAACTGTTGCTTTACTGCTTCTATCATCCCTGATTAATATTTTAGTTTTTTACACTTTTTTTCCTCCTCACTGAGGATTCAGAAAACAAACAGTAAGAGTTAAAAACAAGTAACGGCCATTTCAGGAATCATTATGTTTTTCATTCTGCTTTTACTGCCTATTGTTAGAAGGACTCTCCCCAGTCACTAAAGAATGCAAGAATACAGTTTCATGATAAAATGTTGAGGAACTCTACTACAAATTCCTTTCTTTTAAACATTTTTTTTTTTTCATGTACATTGCCTTCATTTCAGTTCATGTGATAAGTTTTACAGTTCTTTTTCTAGTTTCCACCTTTAAATTTTTAAATGTATTATTTACAAATAAAATGGTAAATCAAATGTAAGTGTTTTACTCAGGCCCTATCCTACAGCGTGTCTGTGAGGGGTGGCCTCTTCTTGGGGCAGGGACAGCACCTGAAGACACTTCCTGGGATGAAGTTCCCTCACCCCACCCTTCCAGCTCCCTGGGTGTTTTACTGCTGAGTATCCATGAGTGCCTTTGACCCTGAGGATGAAGTGAACCCATCTCCTGGGTACCCCTGGGCGAGAATCCAGCGTGTGTTTGCATGTGCGGTATGTCATCATTCTGGTCCATGCAGTAACAAGATCCCCAATGGGTACACCAAACCTATCACCTGTCAAATGCCTTTGGCATGTCATCATGATCACCCTTGTTGTTGGTCAGTTTTGGTTTTGTTTGCAAATTAAAGTTTGTCTGAGGATGTGGTCTGCACGTTGGTTCCATGCACCTCACTGACAGCTTACCATGGGATCACAGCCTCCCTCAGGCACATCCAGCTGCTTTGGCATGAAGTCCTTCCCGGGCTGCAGGTGGGTTGTTGTTCCCCCATGGTCCTCCAGGGATGGAAGTGGCCTGGCTGCCTCACTTCAGTCTGCTCCATGGGCTGCAGGGGAACCTCAGCTCTGGCAGCCGGCGCACCTTCTCCCCTCCTTCCTCACTGACCTGGGTGTCTGCAGGGATGTTTCTTTCACATATTCTCATTCTTCTTTCCAGCAGCAGCTGTGGAGTTTGGGTGGGTTTTTTTTCACCGCTTCTTAAATGCATCATGCCAGAGACGCTGTCACTGTTGCTGGGCTTGACCTCTGCCAGTGGTGAGTCCAGCTTGGAGGCATTGGCTCTGCAGGACATGGGGGAAGCTCCTGGCAACTTCTCACAGAAACCAACCCTGTGTCTCCCCAGCTACCATGAGGGAATTTTCATGTCAATCCAATACAAACTTAAATTTATATTTCAGGGAGCACAAAAATTATTTACTTTTTGTTTAATGTGACTATTCTTTTAAAACTGAGCACTGATTACTATTTTCAGTTTCTTAAGCTTTATCGAATCCTCCTTAAACATTTTGCTAACTATAGAATGATAAAGTCATTCAGTTTAGGAAAGGACACAAATACTAAGGCCCATTATAGGAGTAATATATTTATCATCCAAATGACAACAAGAGCTGTAATTTTTTCTCTGTTTTATTAGTTAGCTTGGCTCATTGCTATTTCATGAGAAAATGTATTGCAGATAATACTACATACAGTCTGACACAAGGCTCCAGACAGCTGTATCTGCCTAGAAATTAACTCAGATTAATGTGGGGATAATTGTTGGAGCTCAGTTACATGTTTTTGCTAATTAAGGATTGAAGGAAATGCCTTAGCAGAGACAGTACATTTGTTAACAAGAATACACTAATGATTTAGCTTTCCCATTGACCTCTGAAAAGGTTAAAATGCTAGTTTTTGGTGCTAAATGTAAAAAGGGTTTTTCTTTATCTTGTTTAAAAGAAAAAAAAACTATATTTCATCTCACTTAGAAATATGATGACATAAGTAATTGATGATTCCATATGTTAACTAAAATTAATCATAATTTTTATGCATTAAAATCCTTTTTCTTATATTTTGTCATCTAGATTAGAAACTAAAAAACATAAATTCATTTTCTTGTGTGGTTCCATCTTATATGTGTCTCCTCATAACTTTTGAGCCCTCTTGAAACAATATAAATAAATTTAATAGAGAAGAAGCAGTCTCAGGCCTACATTCAATATCATGTCAGGTATATAATTTGTATATATCAATTAAAACTGTTGCACAGAATGAGTTGGTGATCTCTATCTAAGATAAATGCACCTGTAATATAAACATAAAAATACATAATAAATTAAATTTTCTTTTTTTAAAATTTAAATTAAGGCCATAATTTGCCTAAAATTCAAGTAACATATCCTTGAACTCCTCCTCTTATCTTGTCCACACAAGAAAGTTACCATCTTTCCTTCTTAAAGCTCAATTAAATCTTATTAGATTTAGCTAACACAAGACTCAAAGTCACTAATGATTTTGAACACTATCTTATAAACAGAGTAAGCCTTAAAGTAATGATCATTTGACTCTGAAAGTAGCTCAGTTGTTTAGAGCATGGTGCTAATAATGCCAAGGTTGCTGGTTAAATCCCAGTACAGGCCATTCACTCAACAGCTGGACTTGATGATCCTTGTGGGTCCCTTCCAGCTCTGACAATTCAGTGATTCTGATTAGCATGACCTTTATCTGGCTTCTATGATTATTCAATCTGGCCAGTCTTAAGAATGGATATTTTGCTGAAATTTCGAGAACCGTGTTCTGGCTGTGAAATGTCCTTACTGGTCTGGTGATCAAACATTTTCTTTTACTGAAGAGTTTTGCAGTTTTTATTGGTCTATTGAAATCAATAGATTTGGGTCCACATCACTATTTTAATGAATAGTTTTTAATATTTTTAATGAAACAATCATAAAGTTTGTGAGCCATTCTGTCTATCAAATAAATTTGTTCATGTTTGCAGACCTCTTTAATAATGACCATGGCCTTTCAGAAGCAATATAATGGAAAAAAGGAAACACTATCCATACGACTGCCTAAGTACTGATCCTACTATAAAAATGTTGGAAATTTGACTTCAAAGAATGTGAGACACGAATGGATGACATATTTGTATGGTTATTCTGAAGTGGAAGAATGATAAAATTCAGGTAGTAATTCAGAGAATCAGAAGACACCATTTCTTTGCACCAATTACCAGCCACACAAGTAATGTGACTATTTGGACCTACTTTTCCAGTATATAAAACAGGGATTTCAGTTTAATTCAACAGATTATTTAAAATATAAACTCTCTGTGAACTGTAAAGCATTTTCTTAATGAGTGTTATGTAAGTTTACAGAAGACATTATCTAAAAATTGAGATAGTTCAGACATCTGACATTTCAGAACATGTGTTTGCATTCAGAAGCAAATGTTAGGTTATCTCTAGGGTAAAAAAAAAAAAAAAAAAAAAAAAAAAAATAAAAAAAAAAAAAAAAAAAAAAAAAAAAAAAAGTATTTTAGAGCAAAAGGAAAAATAAGCCAGTGTGGTCAAAAGAAGACCTGATTTTCCAAGGTAAAAGAACACAGCAAGATAGCAGAAAAAGTAATTTCTGAAAGGAAAAATGAGCTACAGTTTTTATTATGAAGATGATTCCACTCTTAGTACAGAAGATTTCAGTCACTCTACTGAAATGAGTCTCATTTTACTTCAGAATTTTGATTTATTTTAAAGTAGAACACTTCACACTTTGGTAAAAAAATACCAACCAAAATACATCTTCTTGCTATGTCTGTCTACAGTGCATGCTATTCATTTTGTCAAAGCCAGCAGAAAAGCTGTATCCTTATTCTGTATAATAGAAAACAATTTTTAAAAGAGCACTGAGCTTTCTTTCTATATGTGTCTTGCAAACCAGTAATTCAGTCCCAGGCTCCACAGAACTCTAATCTTATGTTCTGGCCTCTATCTTGTATTGTAACTCCTCTTAGACACACTAAGAAAACTTCTACAGAACTCATGTAACTAAATGACTTTTTCATAGTGCCATAATTTTACTGTGACTTAAATATGGTTATATTTCTGTGAAAGTCATATATTGATCAAATATAATTTTCTGATTATATTCTCAAAACTTCAAAAATTTTCTGGTAGTAATCTTCTTGATCTCCTTTTACCAGAAAGATATCACTTGTGCAGATGAAAAGACCATATACTGTTTAGAGAAGAAATGACACAACTTTTCTGCTCTCTGCATAGGCCCAAGCAACAATCTCTGGCTAGCAAATAATAGAGGCAACGAAAAAAAAAAGGATATGCTTACCTTAAATTAAAATTTTATTTCTAATGAATGCCTTCTATCTAAATTTCAGCCATACAGAGACAGAAAAGAAGCTGTTTGGAATATTCCCCCTTATGGATCAATCTCTAGATATCACTTTCTATGTACTAAAATCCTCCTTTTGAGTAAACTCAAAAAGCATACTGCATCAGCAGACCAAAGATAAATTTAAAGCATTCTTCATAGCCCTTAGCCATAAAGTCCATAGCTAAAAGAAGAAAGAGCACATAGTTCTAACTACTGAATTTCTTTGTATTCAGAGTATAGAGCTCAGCTTGTCATGATATCATTAACTTCTGGACGACAACACAGACAAGGAAAAGGTCATTCATTAACACTATATTATCTCATCTGATTCTGTTCAAGTATTGATCACGTCAATGGGAAACAAGTCAAACTCACAGTCATTGGTCCTCCAGGCCTATAAGCATTGTACTTTCACATACTTGGCATTTTACTAAAGGAAATATTTGCATTCGTGATCATTGTCAAAAATGCAGTATTTCTGTCATGAAGTTATAATTTCTTGTTTATGCATGCTAATTATGTAAACATTATGTAATCTGATGTATAACTGCAAATTAAATAATTGCTTCAGAACTGTTGTCACAATAGATCCACTGAAGCAAAGATCTTGAAATTACAAATTAAATTATTAGGTATCTGTGAAGTAGCTTTAAAAACCTTATTTGTTTATGGAAATTGATAAGAAATTATGTTCAAGCAGCAGGACGGAAAATGAAATAAAATGAAAGGCAGGTAAGAACGCCAAGTAGCAAAATTGTTTCTTAGGGATATATTTTGTATTCTGCAGCTACCAAACAACTACTATGCTCTAGTGAGATGCAATTACAATTTAATAACTGGAGATATGTTCAATTATTTATATTTACTTTTGCCTGGGTCTACATATTTGGGAGCAAAATGACTGCAAAACCTAGAAGGTAATATTGTACAGGTTAAAAGCACTGCACTATGTGATAACTTACCTTTTAAAATTCTGAGTTCGGTCAGGGACTTTTAAAAAAAGATCAGAATTTCTCAGAATGAGTCATGGTGCTTAATAGGGTATTTTCTTATTTTTGCTAATATTTTTCTTGCTTGCTTACATCAAGATCTTTGCTAATATCAGGATCTGCTTGAAAAAAGTAATTCCAGTGGATAATATCAGGGAAAAACTGATATTCAGGATAATTATTTTCTTATCAGGTAAATTACTATGCACAATACCAGAATACTGTACATAATTTTTACTTTCATTTAAATAGAAATGCTCAAATTTGTGGACTGCCAAGGGGCAATTTACTAGCTAAAATCATGTGTTTTCCACTATAACTTTAGTTTAATCCTCATATATTTTTTTGGAGTCTGTCAGTAGCCTGCCACATATTCTTCAGTATATCTCATAAACCTCAAAAAGGAAAAAAAATTATAGACTGAGGTACCCATAGAGACATATTTTAACAAAATTTGTGCATTTTGATTGAGGTATAGAGATGGCTCATTTCTACAGAATTATTTTCATTAGGTAGCTCAAGCTACTATCTCCCCAGCTTCTGTATATTCTAAACAATTTTTTCCTCGTAGCATTTAGTTTTCTTGATACAGTTTGAAGGGAAGTAATTTGTGCAATTTTACTTTTTTAGACTAAGCAGTGCTACCTGTTTTTGCTGGTGTATAACAACATAGTTCACAAGCTGAAAGTCTCATCTGTTCAAGAGGACAAAAAATAAGTTTTTCACTGCCCATTTTTCTACAGTTGTCATTTGTATTTAATTTTCTTCCGTCTTCTGTAAATTTGTTCCTTTGGTCAATTTTTCATCGTACTTTTCCTTTCAGCTTTTGTTATGTTCTTTCCTTTTGTAAATTCCTATTGATGTTTTCCTTTTGCTATGGTATTATTTAACTTGATATAAAAGCATGATCATGTGGATTTGATGCTCCCAGTCCTTCAAATCTTGAGCTGTTGTCCTGAATCTTTTGTTATATAAATGAAACGTAGTTTAGGCTTTCTTTTTCAACTCAGCAAGATTTTAGTTTCTCTGTGTGTCACTTGTAAGAAGAGCACCTGTATGAACTAAACCTTTCATCCTGCAATGTGTAATGAATGTGTCCCTGTTTGCTTCCCTGTGTCTTTTTGGGATACAATTTAGCAATCATTGATAGTGATTTTCTAGCTGTCTGATCACTTTTTATTATTGTTCCAATTATTTTGTCTACCAGAGAATGATAGCTTGATGAAGCTGTTCAGGAATTTGACTGGAATTTAGTTGAAGAATTCCTAATAAATGAGTAATATTTCCTCAGTATCTGCTCTGTTGATTCTTTGGTATTTGCCCCTGTGGCCTGAGCTTGTTACTCTGAAATTCATCTATTGTCCACCCACCTCAGAATGTCACAGTCTAGTCTCATAAACAGCCAGGATCTTGAATACATGAGTATCTGCTTCTCTCATGATCTGAGAGGACTTTGTTCAAAATGTCAACTTCATATCATTAACTGTATTTTAGAGAATTCACAGATATTTATCTTAACTTATTGATTCTTAACATTACTTTGAGGGGAAAGGAGGTATAATCAATCACTTAAAAATGACAATGATGGTTACAGAATTTGAAAGAAGCAGATAGTAGCTGATCATATATTTAATATCCTTATTCACACTTATCTGTTCAATTCAACTGTGATATAAACAAGCCAAGGTCAAAACAGATTACAATGCAGATATATACTACATTAAGAGAAATTCAGACATGTTGCTATCAATAATTATGCTTACATTTTCTTTCACCACACATCATGCATTGCAATAAACTGTTTGTGCTAAATTCTCATTTTTTTTATTTTTAAAGAATTGTCCATTCAAAGTCACATATGTATATGACACACAGTTATATTTATTTTGAGGTTATGTACCTTTTTTTTCTAAAAATAGAATAGATCATTATGATGATAATTTTTTTATATTTTAAAGTGTTTTGGTTTCTTCTTTGTTTTTAACATTAAATTATTAAATTTAATTCCCTGAATGAAATTTTGTTTGTTACTGCTCATGGAAAACAAATGCTAAAGTTTGCAAAGATTCACACAGAATTCTGCTGCATGGCTAATGATCTAAGCGAGGTCATTATATATAAATTTTAATTACTAATATTAGAAAATGTCAAAATGAGGTAATAATCCATTTTTAAATTAATTTAGACTTTTAATATATGTTAGGTTTTTATCAAAATTGTATCAAACAATTAGATTTGGTATGTGTTTTAGAAAATTTGTCT